ATTGGTCCAAAGCACAAAATATCAACAACATTTAGTCTAGTTTTTAAAAATAAACACAGCAGAATAAGCAGCCATAACAGAGATAAACACAGCTACACATTACAGAAAATATCAGAGCATTATTCTCAGCTGTATCTTAGCTCATTTTCAAGTCCAAAGATTTTTGCCTTCAGAGCCATCAGCTCGCCCTGAACCTTTTTGGTCCTGGCATTGGTTTGTCGTACTTCATGAAGGATGGCTAAGTCCTGGTTGGGCCCCACATTCAAGGTAACCTGATGAAAAGAGAATCTCCCAGTCAATACTTACTAAAATGTGATTTTGTACATGAGCAAGGTGGAAAAATTGAAGGAAGATGAGTGAAGGTTTTGCTTAACTTTGTTTTGCATTAAAATTAAAGTCATTCACAGTGCTTATAATATGTAAAAACAAGCACAGGCATGCTGAGATCACAAATAACTTTCTAATAAAAATCAATTGGTCACACAGTTTGATCTTTTTACCTTCAGAAGCTGTTTTTCTACATCTTTGAGTTTCTGTCTGAGGAGTTTAAGGTCTGCCTTGAAGCCCTCCACCTCCATCACCCTCCTCTTCTCCAATGCCTCATAACGCTGAGTCATCAGCTGGAGGCGCTTGGCCATTTTCTCTGAACGCTCCTGCACACAGAAGCAAGGTATCAGTAAAAAGAAACTTGGTGATCGCCATCAACATCAGATACCATTTAATCAGAGATGTGTATAAGGCTTGTACAGACTGAACCATCAATCAAACTGGTGTACCTTGAATATTTCCCTGCCCACATCCCCTTCCTCTCTGATTTGGGACAGTTCTGTTTCAAAAGTAATGCACTGCTCCCTGTACATGTCTGCCAGACGGTTGGCTTGCTTCAGCTCCTCCTGCAATATCTGTTTGAAAAAAGAATAAAGAAAAAAACAGACACTACAATGAACTCGCCAAAAAACTGTGATTTATTCTGAAGACATTAATAAAAGGCATTTATACAACCTCGCGAAATGGAATCAGGAAATACTTCTTACAGACTTTCATGAACACAAACAGATAGTTAATGTTACCTTTAGCTCCTCTTTGTGTGGCTGATCTGACTCTGACTGAGGCTGAGGGAGGGCTGTGCTGCTGCTGGGCTGCCACGTTCGCCCCAACTCAATGCTGACACCCCTGACCTTCCTAAGACGGCTGTGGCAGGAGTCCAGTTCCCTCAGCAGGCGATCCTTCTCCACCATCCAGCTCTTCTCATTAGCTCGTGTGTCAAACTTTAGCTGTAAAAAATCTCTGGTGCTCTCATGCAACAGGTTCTGAGTTCGCTGGAGTCTGACATGTCAAAGGAGATAAATAAAAGTAAATCTTGAAATTTAATGGAAATTTAATGTCAGCCACAGAAGACAAAAGTCTAGAGGTTTGTTTTACAAACAGCTATAAGTCACAATGATAAATAACTAAAAATACAGACATCATAAACTACATAAACTATAAGACTAACTTGTCAGTCAGAGCAGCAATGCGGTCCTGATCTCTCTGCCGCTGTGCCTCGGCCTCCTCTGCTTTAATCTTTCGATCCTCCAGCAGAGCGTCCACCTGCTCTTTGGCCAGGCGAGTCTGCTCTTCCATTTGAGCCTGCAACGCCTCCACCTGGAGACATGTGCCACAAAATGTAAACACAGGACACACAAGAGAAAGAAATGTTTAACTTTCTGTAACAGATCATATAAATGAAATCGCATTTCAAGCATACATAAAGTGGGCCCATACCTGTAGCAACAATGTCTCTTTTTCATTGTTGTACTGTTCCAAGCTCTCTCCATTTTCTCTATCTGCAAATTTAGTTCTCCTGCCACTCTCTGCTTAAATATAAAATCAAAACGGCATGGTCATTACAAAAGGCTGGTTTAAATACATAAGTAGTGATGACTTGATTAAAAACAAACAAAAACAACAACACAAATAAAATACATTCACATTTTCTTGAATAATCAGACGAAAGAAAATAATATTATTTGTAGAAAAATATATTTTCAAACCTTTCCTGGTTGCAGCAGGTCTCAACTTTGTTGGCCTAAGACTGAGACTTTCCTCCAGTCTTGACTCTGGGTACCTCTGTGAGATAGTGACCTGAAATATAGCAATAACAGTAGTACAACAGTATTTTTAACTACTCTGGGAGCTTCAATGTCATAACCCTAAACAACTGCCTGACTGCATTACCATGATAACAGCCAAACGGAGGCTTGCTTTTAGAAGGACCTTGCTAATATCATTAAAAATGCTGTAGTTCTGTTTAGCAGCACCAGCCAATCCAATGTATCTTACTGAGATTATAAATTTGAGTTCAAAGCATCGACTCAGAAAATGACCTACAATGAAGTAAGCACCTACCTTGTGAGGAGGTTCCCGGTGGAAATATGTCATCTCTCCTGTATCAGGACCCACAAGAGCAAGAAGGTGTTGGATTTTCTTCCTGTCCTCCAGCTCTCTGTAAAACAGTGGCTAAATGGTAATAAAGTTTTATACACAGAAGCAACAACAGATAATGGTGGTTACAAGTTATCAAGATATCAAATGCCACACACCTACTGCTATCAGTCAAGAATAACTTGTATAGGCTTCAACTTTCTTAACGAAATATAAATATGTTAACATATATCTGTGCATTCCACTGGTTTTAATTATTAAAAATTAAGGCGAGGCGACTTTTGTTGTGATTTGGCGCTATATAAATAAAATTGAATTGAACTGAAAAAATTGAATTGAAAAATATGTAAAAATAAATAAATAAAATAAATACTTGGTCAGTTGCAGTAAGCCAGATGGTAAAGTAACCCATCACTATTGACAGAATAGTAATCATTCTCTGCAGGCACTGTGACTCACTTTTATCAATATTAAATGCTATACTTAAGGTTGAACTGTACACCTACCTGATCTTTAGTCTGTCGTTTTCTGCATAAAGCCGCAGAGACTGCTCTCTCTCTTGGAAAAGGTAGACCTGCATGTCACTCAGAGCACTCTGAAGCTCTGCAATCTCTCCTTCGTGCTGTCGTATTTCCCACTGTAGCTTATGCTTTCAGGGCATTATGAAAGGAGACAAGATTAGTCAGGCAAAGATTCTTTGGCACAAATGGCTTAACATCAAAGCCTCTCACATTGACTCCCATCTCTCACCTGATCTTCAGTGAGGCTTTTATACTTTTCCAGCATCTGCAGCAGCTCCAAGTGCTCGCTATCAAACTGGGCAATCTTCTGTCTGTAGAACTCCAGAAGCTCTCTGGATGGACGCAGTTGCGCCAGACGCTCGTGAATAGGGGGGAGTGGCGAGTCAAGCTCCTGACCCGGGGTACGAATATTAGTCCTGGTGGGTGAAAAACAGAAGAAGAAAACAAAGAACATGAAGCATTTTGAAGAAGATGATACTGGCATACAATTTACATTTGGGCATTGAAGACTCACACTTTGGTTGTAACTGTAACAGCTACAATATCACAGCACTTTACCAATGACATATAAACTGCGTAAAGGATTACCCAGGAATTTAAACCCATTTAGGTAATAACGCTTAATCCATGTGGGATGAGTCTGTAACAGTAGGGGAACCAGACTGTCACAATAAATCCAAGTATCATTTAGGGAGATTAAAGTAAAAAGCATTACTCTGGCTCACTCTGTGCTATGGCAACAAAAGTCCAGCGTTCAGCGTGTCAAATGCATGTTCTTTACCTGTGTGGTGTTGCATGTTTCTTTGGGGACCCCATCCTGTTGCAGACACTGTAAACAAAATGGAAAATACATATACAGATGCTTAAAAGGTTTACATGAATAATGAGTTGTTTTTAAATAATGAGCACTTAAAACAGTTTTGTGGTCTTAATATTCACATACTTTTATGTAAAGAGCATAAACGGAGTCAGCAGAACAGATATAATTATACAAATACTGAAATACATCATTAGAAAAAAATAAACACATCTTGTATTAGGAATTGGTGGACAAGCAAAATATTACCCTTTGCAGTATTTCTAATTATTATGACACGTTACATAACCGGTGAATACGTCAACTAAAAGAACTTCTAGAGTGGCATTTTGCAATAATAGTGAAGAGGTAACACTATCTGGATTGCAGAGCTAACAGGGTAATTTATACCAGTCGTGTATCTCGGTTGCCACACACTGGGCGGTAGGGGGAGCGGGACTTTTAAAACCAGTGCCGAGGGATAATTTAACGCTTTAAACCCATATTAAACGGCCACGTCAATGATTCAGTTGGTCACAAAGAACCTGTACTTCACATAAAAAATAATCTATAAAAAAGAGCATGTCGTAGCAAAATGAGTAGTTATGTTTTATTTTTCATGGTGATGAATTCATGAGAAATAAGAAATGTCATATTATATAGCGCACCAATATAGCTGTCGTACGTTTTTCCAGGTTTTCTTTTCGCTTAAATACTTCTGAATTTTACTCACCCGTTACAACTTTAAACAGTCTAGCAGCACCGCGGTGTTGTTCTTTTGAAATCAGGAAGTTACCGCCCCTTTTTCTTCTTCGTAGGAACTCAGCCGTAACAGACGTTATTTTGCCACCTAGGGACCGTAGAGACAACAACCTAAAAAATATAATATAATCTTTTATTATCATGAATATATTTATTAAAAAAAAAACATATGATGACGTGTGTTTTATTTAATTCGTTTATTTATTCAATTCTTTATTTATTTGTTTAATTATCAACAAATTATTCAGACTTAGCAAGAAGTCCAAGCGACACAGTCAACCCTTCAAAATAAAGGTCTTAATTATAAATTTGAGCTTGAAATAAAGCGTACAGCAATTAAATTTTGTGGACACGATGTTTTTCAATATTAAAAGTGACTATATTTACAACAAAGACCCCTTTAATTTTGACGAATAAGCATATCACTATAACATTTTTAACCGGAAGCTCCGATTGCAGTCCTACTACCTTGACGTATTGACCTCCGGCCGCTTCCCGTCAAACTTGACCAACGCTGAGATCTCACGTCGGACCGCTTTGTGGTGTTTCTCAACAATGGAGCGGAAAGTTGCTCGAGAATTTAGGCACAAGGTATGATAAAAATAACAACAGTTTTTACTATTTTACATGAATTAAATAGATGTTAAATGAAGCTGGTTTTTTTTCTACCTGGTTGTCTCTTCGCTGGCTGGCTCAGGTGTCTGCCGGTGAGATGTTGCGTAGACAGGCCTGCCCGACAAAGTGACGAATAAAAAACAAAACAAAAACAAAAAAAACTCAACTTTTATTTTAACAGTAATTCAAACATATCATTAAGAAATAAAGTTGCTGTTTGTTTTTAATGTTGTTGTAGTAGATTTACGGGTTTTTATTTAGCTGAAACATCTGCTTCTAATCTCATCTGCTGCCCAAGTGAAACGAGTGTCGGGGGATTTTGTCTTTTTGATGACACTTAAATCTCTTTGCACAATTTAAGAGGTTGCTGTAAGACTGTTTTTCCTCTTGATTGGTACCTTATTCTTATTCAGGTAAAAGTTACACGGCAGAGGTCACTATAGTCAACAACAAGCAGTAAAAAATGTTATTAGGAGTCAGGATTCATTCATGCAGCGAATCAACTTGAAATTATACTTTGATGTGTGGGCGGTGTTGACTACTTCCCCCCCCAAAAGTCATCAGCAGCAAAGATAACAGAGGAAGAGAACACGATATGTTCAAGGCTTTTTCGTCCCCAGAGCATGTAGGGATCACCTCACAGCCATCTGTGCTGCACGCAGGCAAGCAGAGTCCCATATTGTAGGCTCTCCACAAAGGGCGCTTTCGCATTAGATAATGTGTCAGATACGAGCAGCTAAGCGGAAGAGATGCGACAATTTACGGGTTTAATTAGAGGCTGAGGGGTGAATGAGGCACAAATGGGCTTTGTTTCTGTTTGCGGCACTGTCTTAATTGTTTGGTTGAGGATGTTTGTCAGTTTTATGGTCTGATTTGCCTGAAAATTGGATTATTGTGCAATTTTATTGTGTTTTTATTTGCATAAAAGTCACACATTTTTATTCTGTAGGTACTACACTGTGACAGAGAAGCTCACTGTATGAAAACAGTTCTGATCTTTAAACCAGAAATGCTTGTCTGCCTAACAAGTTATCTATACTTTACTGGTTTATGGTGCCAAGGTCCATGTGGCTCAGTCTGCAGGAAAAAGAGAAGTTTATGACCGTTCACACACCCTGTGTGGCTCAGTGGCGCTGCCTTAACTTTAACCCCTGCAGAAATGGTCCTTGGAGGGTGTGTGCTCTATGATGCCTGTTCTTTAATTTGAGGTCTGATTATTCAACATGAGGCGTGCGTGTGTGAATGTTTACTTCTTTTTGAGATGTAAGGTGACACTCCGGACCTTCCTACTGCAGCCTCTCCTCATCCCTGTGGCCATTATTTCCTCCCAGGGGTTTGATGGTTAGACATGGGCAGCCCATTACACGTTTAGCACATGGACATCCAGGGAGTTATCTGAACTTTAATGTCTTAGAAAGTCCGGCTTTCAGCTTATTATAGGAGAGATTTTGCTAGAGACAGATGGTGAAATGTGTTATATCAGCGACTGGCCCAAACGGTTCCTTAAAACTATCCTGCTGCAACTGAACCGTCATCAGGTTTGTATGACTCGGACACACACACACACACACACACACACACACACACACACACACACACACACACACAACACACACAGCACACACACACACACACACACACACACACACACACACACACACACACACACACGGCTCACCCCCTGTAGCTGACAGGAAAACAGGGGAGAGATACAGTGTGTTTCAGGGGCCTTAATGAAGGAGGATGGTACCAGATGCTTGTGTTTTCTTGCAGGTGGAGTTGCTGATTGAAAATGAAGCAGAAAAGGATTACCTGTATGACGTCCTCCGCATGTATCACCAGTGAGTACCATCTGTCACTGCTCAGCATGTCTACAGAGTGTGTGTTGTATTTCCTCACTGATTTTTCACACTTTATGACTAAAACATTGATGATTATGGAATAGATTATGTCCTTAAATAACTTTGCACAACTATAGCCAAAAAGAGTTACAACGAAGGAACTGTAGGCATGTATGGGTCTTTGTAGTATCTGTATAGATTTAAATACAAAAAACATCTTCTTCTGCTTCTGTATGTTTTCTCTAGCTTTTAATATTTTCATGAATAATATTTAGGAGCCATTAATCTTGTCCCTGACAGTTTTAATGCTCGCAGAACTCTGGTTCAAATCCTCCTCTGGGTCGTGTTTTTTGATGAAAATGTGGTCCTGGAGGACACGAGAGGGGGGAGGGATAGGTCTAGGTTTCAATTAATCTTTGTACAGAGGCACAGTCCTGTGACCCTATTGGTTAAGCCTCTGATCAGTTTCCACTGAGCTCCGACAAGCCTGGCCAGTTATCAACAAAAGCTCTTTTTATGTTCAACCTCCAAATGGAGCTAAAATGGCACATATTAATTATTCAAAAGGAAGGTGACCTGGAAGAATTTCATACCATAGCATTTACTTTGCTGCGTTAATTGCTGTTCCAGTTGCCCTTTATCCTGAAATTAAAAAAATAATCAAAGGGACATTTGGATGTTTTTTGTTTTTTTTTTTATTGTGAGGAGAAAATGCCTGTGGCTCTAGAGAGATTGCTTTGCAAATCCTGATTAATTGCATCAGTTGGTGCAGAAGGTAAAGTACAAACGTTTTAAAAATCAGGTGTTTAGACTCTGATAGAAGTGAGATTTTCATCTCGTTGTCAGTGTCAAGGGAAAAATCCCACACGGATCAGGAAAAGAGTCTGGTTCCTAAACTGACCCACCTGCACTCCAGACATATCATGCTTTGAAAACCATTTGGCATATTATGAAACAAAAATGACTAAGCAATAGCTCTTTGAAACAATTAAATATGAGTTTAAATAATTATCTACATTTTTCACAGCATCCCAGCCTTTTTGGAAATCCCTTTTTTGCAGACTTTCTCATATTGTTTGGTTTTCAAGGGGAGCTTTCACCGTTTTGTAATTGCATAAATTAGCAGATGTGGTAAATTGTTGTGAAACCGCTAATTATCCTCCTCTCACTTTCCAGGTCGATGGATTTGCGAGTGCTGGTGGGAGACCTAAAGCTGGTAATTAACGAACCAAAGCGTCTCCCCTTGTTTGACGCCATCCGACCTCTGATCCCTCTCAAACACCAGGTGGAGTATGACTTGCTCACCCCCAAGAGGTCAAGGTGAGTACAACATGGTTATTTATTGCCTTTTTAGCATGCAGTTATTGACCCTGGCATGCATTCACCTTATTTTGGCTTGTACATCTTGCTTAATATTTTCCTCTCTCACCTGATGTGTGCAGGAAGCTAAAAGAGGTGCGTTTGGATCGGACTAATCGTGATGGTCTAGGTCTGAGCGTCCGAGGAGGGCTTGAGTTTGGCTGTGGTCTTTATATATCCCAGATTATAAAAGAGGGACAAGCTGATAATGTGGGCCTACAGGTACTATAATTATAATTTATGTTTGTTTCTTCCGATTTTTTTATTCTTTAAAAAAATATGAATATACAGACTGGGGTTACAGCACTATTTACGAATCTATCCACATGCGGAATAATTATATCTCTTTATAATGGGGGTGGATTTAATATTCCTAGTTCTAGTTGAATACAAACAGAAAATGTCAGTAAAAGAGTAAACTTAAATTCAGTTAGTGCTTATTTTTTCCATTTAATCTTATGTTATATTTATTTAAAATTCTGTTTAGTTTTTACCCCTCTGCTGTCAAAAGCTAATTGGGTATTGTCATTACCCCACCGGGTGGGCAGGTGGGTGACGTGGACACCCAAGTTCATGAATGCAATAACTGGAGAACGTGGCAACGTAGGAGATTAAAATTGATACCACAGTGTGTCCACTAGGATGCTGAAGGGTAGCGCTGGTGTTTGCCAGTATTTTTTTTGTTTTGTCATGGAGCCTTTTATTTAATTCATGTTTTATATATATGTACCATTGTACCTAATCTTTTTTTTTTTTTTTTACATTTTGTGCTTTAGCTTTTTTTATAACTGTTATAACAAAGTAACTTTTTACTACTACTGGGACCTTTGATAATGGTGATCATTTCTGGCCTAATCAAATACAAGAATCTTCAATCGGAGATTTTAAATTTTAACTGAATACTTTTTTTAAAAATTTTTTTATTGCAAGTGTGTAGTGTTTTAAACCGGCCTTTCATAGTGTAAAATAGACTTATGAAGGAATCATTTGACTGTAAACCACTTAAATTTACATAATGACATTTAATATCTCATCTATGATATATTCTCCTGTCTTCATATATAGGTTGGTGATGAGATTGTGCGTATCAATGGATACTCAATTTCCTCCTGTATCCACGAGGAGGTCATCAGTCTCATCAAGACAAAGAATGTCGTGTCACTCAAAGTTCGACGTAGGTTAACCACAGACTTTGTGTCCATTAGTAGTGCCATTACCTGCTAACATGAAAGTGATCTGACTTGTGTTATCTTATTTATTTTTCTGTGCAGACGTGGGGATGATCCCAGTGAAAACGTGAGATATGAATCCACTTGTGTATTACTGTTGTAACAAACTGTGCCGTGCTCTAGAATACTGCTGCTGTGCAGGGCTGAATTCTCATAGTTTTTTCTCATTTCTCCAGCTCATCAGATGAACCCCTGAAGTGGCAGTTTGTGGACCAGTTTGTTTCTGAATCGGGGGTGAGAGATGAAATGCTACTTTCTTCTTAATGGTGTTTGTTTACCGGCCAGCTAAAAGACTTCTCCTGTACTCTTCAAGGAGAAAAAAAGCAGTGTGGCCGGTTTGGCATCCATTGGAGGAAAGGAGATCAAGGAGAAGAAAGTTTTCCTCAGTCTTGTGGGTACCAAGGGCATGGGCATCAGCATATCCAGTGGTCCAACCCAAAAACCTGGTATATACATCAGTAACGTCAAGCCAGGCTCCCTCTCTGCAGAAGTTGGGCTTGAGGTGATCTTTTTTCTAAAAGACTGCAGAGATCGTATTAAATTATGATACTCGTAAATCTATTGACAGTGAATATGTGCGTCGTATCAAAATGTAGGCTGGAGACCAGATTGTGGAGGTGAACGGAGTGGATTTCACTAACATGGACCACAGAGACGTATGTTTTGCTTAATTTTATATGTTTTTATTTCCTTTTTTTTAAATTTCTCTTTGTTTTAAAAAACTATGCCTCTCATGGTAGTAAAAGTTAAGCCCTCTCTCACTGCTTGTGTTTGTTCTCAGCTTAAATCACTGAGGTGCATTACCAAAGCCAAATTAGTGTTTAACCAGCAAAAATCCTTCCTGTGGCTGATGGCCAAAACCAAGCTTGCAGCATGTTTCTATATTTAACTGAATAATTCACACGCTGATGAATGCAAATAGGACACACAACGCAGGCTCCAGAGATTGTCTGTTTTTTTTTTCTCTTTAATTTCATAAAACTGAACTTTACAAGTGCTATTTAAAATCCTCTGTTTCAACATTTCCAGGCCGTGAAAGTCCTGAAGAGCAGCAGAAGTTTGACTATTACAGTTCTGGCAGGAGCTGTAAGTACACTCTTGTTTTGAATACAAATGTACGTCAGGCTGCTGCTGCTGCTGGTGGTGGTGTAATGATGTGGGGGATATTTTCATGGCACAATTTGGGCCCATTATTAAAAACTGAGCATCGTTTAACTGCCACAGCCTACCTGAACATTGCTGTTGACCACATCTACCTGACAAATCTGGAACAACTGTGTGATGCCGTCATATCGATATGGACCAAAATCTCTAAGGAATGTGTCCGACACCTTAAAAAACAATTGCAGTGAAAGATGAAGGCAATTCATCTTTCATTGGATATAAGGGTCCAATCTGGTACTAGTTAGATGTATGTAATAAAGCGTCCAAGGAGTGTATATAATTAATAAGTGCATAAAATTTTGGTTTATGCTTTTACTGCAGATTGTTTAATCAAACCCATATGCAATGAAATGGATTTGATAAAGAGTCTAATGCTAGTAAGCCCCCATCGAGTCACATATGAATCGTCAAATTTCCTTGATATTTAACCTTTTAAGCCCCAACGCCCCCTGATACGGGGCAAAAGGCAGGAGATCAGTTAGGCTCGGGGCTTAAGAAGTTAATAAGGGCAAAATCTTTTACTATTTTGCATAACTTTACAGAATAATATGCAGATGTGGAGAAACCTTTCAGATAAAATCACTTTCCTCAGTTTTGAAGCAACTTCTGAGAAAGCAGGTTCCTCTGAGAAAGTAAAACACTTACGGGATCATCTGTCATGGACGAAGAGACAGAGACTTCTGCCTCCTGCTTAGTTTCTCCTTTACATTCCTGCATTGCTCAGATTAATCTGTCTGTTTGTTTTGGGGACATAACAGCACCAGCCTGTGCTGCAGCCCCGCTGTCTGCAGGAGCGACATTTATCATCAGTCAAGTTACTCATCATGTTGTTTGCTCTGGGACTCAGTCATGAGGCCTGTGTAACAGAGACAGGCATTCACATCTTATTTATTTATTTCCTTGGTGCCCGTCTAATGTCGTTATCTGTGAGTATGTCTTTGTTTGGACGTGTGCAGTAAATCACCTTCAGGTCAGAGACACTTTAGTTTTAAAACGGCTTTTCATATTGGTATGATGTTATTTTTCTGCATATTTGGGGAACCCTGCAGCATTAAATCATCCAGAACATTTGCAATATGCAGTGTAACACCATGATATAAAGTATACCTCTAGAATGCATTTTATAGCGTTTTGTTCCAGCAGTTGGATAACAAAATTGCAGTGTACAATGAATTTAAAATTAAGTTAGAGCTATTCTGCTGAAACAGTGTGTATAATTAATGCTGATGTAAATCAGCAGCCATTTTCACCTGCTTTTATGTGGCTATACCTCACGCTATCTGCAGAAAATTGTTTATTAATCAGTACTGTGACATTTGAAAACATGCAAGAGCACCAAAAAGTGAGCACACCATCAGAAAATCAATACGCCAAGGTCACAAAAAGATGCATGTGGTCTTGAGGGATGTTTAGTGGTCTCTGTACCACTTCTCAGCAGAGGTAACAAGGACAAACTCTTCAAGACTGACATATACAGGACACGACAGGAAAAAAAGGGTCTGATGAATCCAGGGTCGAGACTTGTTACAATAACAGAAGAATGTATGAACAATGCCACAAACCCAGATATTAGGGTGTGACTGCTCTTAAGTTCAGCACCTGCTTCAGTTAATTACACTCGGGCCAAAAAGAGATGCAGCTATAAGAACAACACAGGATATTGTAATTATATACCAGTAATAGAAATTGCTGATCTACTCAATGATTCTGAGAGGCTTCAAGGATGTCAGGTTTTAAAAAACTGACATCTCCCCTCTGTTCTCGGTCAGAGAGACTGGTTTGGACTTGCCTGTCAGTCTCCAGAGCTAAAGTTTGAGGACCCCTGCTGTATGTCTTTCCGTCATTACTGTCTGTGGCTCTCACTCTCTCAGGGCAGTGAGCTGTTTATGACAGATGAGGAGCGTCTGGCACTGGAGGCCCGCAGGGACGTGGAGAGGAAGGAGCTGATGCACCAGAAGAAGGTGGCACTGGAGACCAACAAAATCATTAAAGAGCAGCAGGAGAAGGAGAGACAGTGAGTGAACAGCACAAAACTTCTAATTAACCTTGTCCTGACACGAGATGGAGCTTCTGCAGTGTATGGTGGGAGTTGTATAGTTTATGTTGTAATGCAAGCTTGCTGTCGCTTTAACTTCAAAGGTACGACGTTGATCTGACTCGGTTCAAACAGATGTTGCTTAGGCTTTGGGTCACACTTTGTTTTCAGGTAATCCTAACAGGAGAAAGCCTTACTAATGTAAATGCCACTAAGATATTTTTTTATGCTATAGATAGGTCATCAGTAATATGACATGTAAATGTTTGTTGTAGTAACTTTATCAGTGCTCTCACGGTGTCTTTCTAGGCAACAAGAAGCCAAAAACTTAAAAAACTGTTCGTATTGGAATCATATTCTTTAGAACAGGGGTGTCAAACTCCAGGCCTCGGGGCCGGTGTCCTGCAGGTTTTAGATCTCACCCAGGGTCAACACACCTGAATCAAATGATTAGTTCATTAACAGGCTTCTGGAGAACTTCAAGACATGTTGAGGAGGTAATTTAGCCATTTAAATCAGCTGTCTTGGATCAAGGACACATCTAAAACCTGCAGGACACCGGCCCTCGAGGCCTGGAGTTCGACACCTGTGCTTTAGAAGCACCTGAACAATATGTCCAAATGAATATGGATGTTAGTTTGTGTCTGCTGGACTTTTTATTAGAGTAAAACAACAGCTGATGCCCCACTAATGGTCTTTCTGAGTGGAAAATAGGAAATGTTCACCAAATCTTACAGTTTGGCTGTGTGCAATACCACCATGGATTTCAAATCAAAAGATGTCACTAACCTGGTTATAAAACCCCCGAGAGTTAGTTTTGAGCCTCTGAAAGTTGGTGAATATGTGTAAAAATCCATCTAATTCCAAAACGGTTATAATAACCCCTCTGAAGTAAAGTCGTGTCTTCATTCTTTGCCACTGTAGTGGCGTACAGAGGCAAAACTACAAAAACTGTGTCACTGTCCAAATACTCATGGGACTAACCATAGATAATAAGCATAATGTACCTCAGTCTATTATTTTTCCTTTCCCACATAGCAAGCAGGTCTGGCCCGGATCTGGTATCAAGCCGGCACTGCTGGTTGACTTCTGGCATGATAAGACGTATGTCATCCAGATATGGGCCAGGCCTGGCATAGATGGCACTGTCTATGTGATGGCATGCCACATCTGGCTCGATTGTGGTTTGGTTTATGTGGCCCAGGCTCATAGAAAACAGGTCTGGCCCGGATCTGGCATCAAGCTGGCACTTCTGACTGACCGGTGTCATGGCAGGGTGTATGTCAACCAGATGTGGGCCAGGTCTGGCAATGATGGCACTATTTATGTTCTTCCTATTTTAGTTAGAAGACCCAAATGCCATGTTGCAATACTATACTTCTATGAAAGCCAACATTTCAAATCAGAAAGGGTTTTATTGCCAAATGTTGAGCAGGTTTACAACATTAGGAAATTGCTGCGGTGCTTCAGTGCAAACATACTGTCATAAATTACGCTAAATAGACATAAAAATAAGAATAAGAATTAAAAGTGCTAAGTAGATAGATATATACATGAGTGCAGGTGGTGATCAGTGCCAAACATGGAATGATGCAGTGAACACAGCGTAGGGTCATGTGTTAGTGGTGGGAACAGTCATACGGTTATTGTTCATGTGTCCAACAGCAGAGGGGAAGAAACTGTTCTTATGGCGAGAGGTTCTGGTGCGAATGGACCGGAGCCTCCTGCCTGAGGGGAGCAGGTCAAACAGACTGTGTCCAGGGTGAGAAGGGTCAGCTGAGATCCGAGCTGCACGCCGCAGTGTCCTGGAGGTGTACAGGTCCTGCAGAGATGGGAGTCTGCAGCCAATCACCTTCTCAGCAGAGCGCACAACACGCTGCAGTCTCTGTTTGTCCCTGATAGTGGCTCCAGCGTACCACACAGTGATGGAGGAGGTGAGGATGGACTCGATGATTGCAGTGTAGAACTGCATCATCGTCCGTGTTGGCAGGTTGAATTTCTTCAGCTGCCTCAGGAAGTACATCCTCTGCTGGGCTTTCTTAATGACGGAGGTGATGGTGGGCTCCCACTTCAGGTCCTGGGTGATGGTGGTACCCAGGAAGCGGAATGAGTCCACAGAGGTGATGAGGGTGTCAGTCAGGATGATGGGGGGGAGTGGGGCTGTGTGCTTCCTGAAGTCCCACTAATGCAGGTTTGACAGGTTTGTGAGTGTACACTTTGTCCAAAACCTAGTGAGGGTTTACTCATTTTTGCCAGTGGGTGGCTGTAGCTCAGGTGGTAGAGTAGGTCACCTATTGATTGGAAGGTTAGTGGTTCGATCCCGGGGTCCTCCAGTCTGCATGTCGTGAGTATGAATGTAGTATAGAGCACTTTGAGTAAATGGGTGGAGAGTTGAAAAATGCTCTATAGATCAGTCCTTTCACTGTCTGAACAGAGTTTTATCATGTTACTTTTGCACTATTATGCACATGTTGTTATTACATGGCTTAATTAAGGTACACATTAGGCTGACATCTGGGGCCAGAGCTGAAACTGTTCTGGGCCAGCACAGGGCCAGCAGTGTGTCTGCAACTGGCCCGTGGCTGCACACAACTTACACATGGCCCACATACCGCAAAGAATGATGGCCCTTTGGTGGCCCAGATCAGGTTTGCCAGAGGTAATCCACACATGGGCCAGCACAGGACCACCAGTGTGTCTGCAACTGTGAATATTCTTATTTTTCCAGTTTGTCTCGCTGATGTGTTTATGTGTGTAACTGGCCTTGTGCTGCCATATGTGGGCCACCTTTGGCAAACGGGTCTGGGCCACCAAAGGGCCGTCATTCTTTGCGGTATGTGGGCCATGTGTAAGCACATTGTGTGGGCCAGACCCGGACCATACCAATTTTGCTGTGTGGGTTGTTGATAAAGATCCTGAGATAATTTGATCCTGAGATCAATCTTAAGACTCACTTATTTAGACTAGCTTTTAATTAGATGTGTGCTGTATGTTTGATTGTACTATTTTATGTTTATCTGTTTTATATTATTGTGAAGCACTTTGTGGTTTTTATCCTGTGAAGAGTGCTATATAAATCAATAAAGAAAGTAAATTACAATTTAAATTAGTTTTTCCACCATTAAAATGTGAAACAACAAATTTTACAGAACACTGACAAAAAAGTTGTTGTGATAAAATGTCACACAGTTACTAGATGCAAATTTAGCCCTCTAAAAGGCTTCACCATTGGTTGTGTGGAGTGGTCCCCTGACTTTGCTCCTGCAGCTGGATGTGAAAATCATGGGTTGTTTAATAAAACATTGCCAATGAATTATTATCAAATTCCCCTTCATTACATTTCATAATGTTAAGGCATGGTCATACTGAAACCACAGACAATATCAGGCAATGAGAGTGTACTACCTTTGTAAGCAGATGAAACAATTTATGCAAAAATATGGGAACTCCGGGCAAATGTTATGCAAATAACGAACATCAATAGGAGGCTTTTTCAATTATTAAAATGCTGCTACTTGTTATTGTAACAAACAGGGGAACAAAGTCACTCAGTTCATCAGCTGGAAGGTTATTTTTTGTGATCATTCACAGAGCACTGCTGTCAGCCTAGTATGCCCTCAAGTGTACAAAGTAAACTAACAACTGGGTCAATAATCAGAGATGAAATGTCATCATCTAATGGGAAAGGCGTTGACTGATGTTCCCTCAATATTTTCCAGAAAGCAGTCTTCTCTGGATCCAGTCAGTCAATTAGTGACTGATTACTTATTTATTCTTTTCCCACTGATCTACAAACAGATGATTGCAAAAATGACCAGCTGTGTGCATCAGAAACATTAATCAACAAATACACAGGAATACTCTTTAATCTAACTTATACATCTTATAATGTTCACTTTATTAAATCATTTACAAATTTAGTCCGCTGCTTGTAAATTCAGAGGATACACTTGATAACCTCAGTGCTTTCAGTTGTAATATTCATCTCCAACAATACCTGGGAATGAATAATATGTGTGTATATTATAAATTGACACGCAAAAGGAGACAAGTTGTAATTGCAGACACCAAATGGCCAAAGTAGTAAAACCACCTGCACCACGATGGTCACCTAAATGTCAAAGCATGGACACGAGACGCTGGCAGAGGATCCTTTGGATCGATCGTGGGGGGTGGGAATCCTAATTAACTGCTCTCTGGGGATTTTGCAGGCCGATGGGTTGCCTCTAGATTATTTAGCTGGCTCATGGGTGTCAAAGTAACATCTATATTCCTTTCGCCCACTGGTTGCTGATTAGAGCCCAGTACACTAACATGTTGTGTAAACAGAAGATATTGGTTTGTTTTATAGACGAAAGATGGAGCTCTCTCAGAAAGCTGCAGAAGAGGAGGAGCGTTATCAGAAGGAAATGGAAAGGTGCACAACTCATTACTTTTAATGTGATGAACTTCCAAGCAAATATTGTTTGAATGTGTATATAATTTCGTACATCTCTGTAGGATTGAAGCTATGGAGAAAAAACACAACAGAGAGTGGGAGGAGGACTATGGTACTGACAGACCCAAGAGCCCTAAATCCAGTCCAAAGGTCCCATCACCAAGAACCACCCCAACTCCAAAGGCCAAAAGTTCTCGTAAGGACCGACAGCAGTGTCTTCTTTTTAAAATGCATGAATCCTGTGTTTTGTTCTGAAACCAGCGAGGCGCTCGTGTTTTACTTCATTCACCCAGTTTCTCTGCGCTCTCTCTCTCTCTCTGCCGCTGCTGTGTGCTGTGCTGCTTTTTATGACCTCTTCTTTATTCTGATGAAGTCAACTCTTTCGCTGAGGAAGATGAGGAAGATGAGGAAGATGAGGAGGATGAGGAGGACGAGGAGGACAGAGAAGTGAGTGTGCGGCCTCAGCTGACATTGTGACAGCTGTTGTAGGTGGATGTCTGCGCGAAGCAGCAAACGCAAAGACAAGTGCAGGATTTCCTTTGCCAATCACAGTTTCACAATGGGAGTCTTATGTTTGTATTATTACTCCAGCTGTTTATTTGTTTTTTTTGTTGGTAGAAGCTGCTGAAAGTTAATGCCAGCACATGTTTGGCATCACTTGAAATGCAGTTACAACTTCATTTTTTTTATTTGGACAGCATGAATGGATTCATTTCTCTCTTTGAGTGCTTTGTTTGGCTGGGATGATGGAGTTTGATGTCACTGTTTAATCTGAAATCATCCTTGTAAGCCTGACCTGTTCATTTCTGTCTTTAGCATTTGGCTGGTTTTATCGATATGAAGGGAAACTGCCATCATTACGCAAGGTACTGTCAGCTGTGTGGGTTCAGTTTGCTGTGATGTCTTCTTATAGTGTTGGTTAGACATTTAAAATCAGGGCTTTTGCTTTTAACTTTATTCACTAAGTGAAAGTGGTTTGCTAGGGTTTTTTTATTCATACACTGTGTGGTATCACTAGGCTTTATTTGCCTGCAGTGCTTTTGAGTTTGGATTGGCAGATTTGCCTGTCCCCGTTCCTTCCTTGTATTCTGACTAACTGGTGATATGTCAGAAAGGAGACAAAAAGAAGAAAAAGAAGAAAGTGTCCAACACAGACACACTGCAGGAGCAGAGAAAAAACAAGAAGGAGATGGAGTTTGAGCTGAAACTCGCCAAAGAGAAGGAAGAGATGCACGAGCGAGAGAAGCAACTCAAGATCAGTCGGCTGGTTCAGGAGGTATGTGGAGGGGGTGCAGAGGAGCAAGCGCTGAGTTCAGCTGCATACATCGGTTATTTTATAGATCAGCATGCAAGCATGCGTGAAGGACTGACTCCTGTTGTGTGATGCTGCCTGGCTCTGACTCTGTACCAGGTTTCAGAGACGGAGAGGGAAGACTTAGAGGAGTCAGAAAAGGTGCAGCACTGGGTGGAGCGTCTATGTCAGACACGACTGGAGCAGATCTCGTGTGTGGAGAATGAATCCCCCGAGGTACAGAGTGAGACCTCCTCTGTCTGAATGTAATTTTATATGCAATGTTTAAAATACTGGTTAAAGAACATATATACTGCTTTGAACTTCAAAGTTTGAAGGCACAGCATCCCAACAACAATGAGCAAGGTGGCATTGGTTCACTCATTTGCATGGAACAAAAACAGGGAGACTGCACCATGAGCTGAATATTAAATGCAGTCATTTGTTTGTTGAACAGAATATTCAGCCAGTCATGTTTTTGTGTAATTTGGTAGAAAAGTTCAGGCGGTATTTTTTTCTTAAGGTGCATTCATTGTGAAATGGTTTAAAAGGTGAATTAACGTGAGGTGAAATTTTTTTCCATTTCATTCTGACTTCTAAGCTCTCCCCGCCACGCTCCCCTGCTTCTGAGCCAAAAGTGAAGCGTTTCCCTGGTGGTCTTCACCTGGCCACCACTGATCTGGACGACATTAACCTGGACGAAGTGGATCAGAGCTTGAGGGGCCCATTAAAAAGACTAGCCCCCACCCAGCCCAGCACCAGCCAGCCACCCCCTCCCTTGCCTCTCCCTCCACGCTCGCCCAACCTGAATCCAACCATCCATAACTATCCCCCCTCTCCTTCTCAGGCGTCTCCACAGCGCCGGCCCCCTTCACCACCTAATGCTAGGAAACCTCCATCTGCCTCATCCACTTTGACGAATAAGAGGCTGAGACCTCAGCCGCACCCCCAACCTTCCTCTCATTACCCGTCTCGTTTGTCGCGACCTCCATCGTCCCCTCAACCTGCTCCCCGGCCCCCTCCGCCCCCGCCCCCTCCTCCTCCTCCGCCGCCCCCACCTCCTCCACCACCGCCACCTCCACAGCACTCTGAAGAACGACTTGGCACCATCAGAGTGTACCAAAACCATCATCACCAGCATCCTCCCAGTCCACCAGAACCCAGGAGTGAGTGGGAGGCAGGCAGATATCTCCCCAGAGGAGGGATTTACTCGTCTAACACTAGTGAAATGTCCTACCCCTCCAGTCCAAAGGTCAGAGATCCTCATGTGTGAAACATGCGAGTTGCTATTGAAGATGTAGATTGCTACATCTTCAATAGCAACATTAGTTTTTCTTCAATGCGTAGGTTTAGGTGCATGTCGTCTCTTATGTGTTCGGATGTTTTAATGCATGAAGAGAGAGCAGCATGTTCTATCTACAGTGAGCTGCTTGTGTTTCTTTGTAGTGTGTGGTTTCTTCTTTCTTCTTATGTTTGTGCGTGTGCAGTTGGGCCTCTGGGGTTGGCAGTAGATGCTTTTGAACTCTCAGCCATGGTGTGATATCTGAGAGAACGGGTGTGGGTCTTGGAGTGTCTTGCGCTGATATTTTCCTGAGTGGTCTGTTTGTGCCAGAGGGCTGAAAGTTTCATTATATTCCACTTTGGCTCAGGTAATGAGAAATACATCCCATGCCAGTCGTGTTTCAACTTCAAGCAGCCCGCTGGTGAGTCTTGCTGCAAAAGGTCATGCTGACGTTTGTAATCGCACCTTCTTCTTTTCTTTTTTTTTGTTCATTTAAAATAATGTGCTTTTCCAAATAAGCAAATATATATATTTCAATACTACCCTTTGCTCAGTTGTTGCTTGGAAACCTGGTCTTTCCCCATTAGCAACTAGCTCCCAGTCCCCCCAATCAGAGGCGTCAGATGGCCCCGGTCATGTCTAAGCCTGTCATGCTGCCTCAGTCACAGACCCACCGCCCAGATCCACACAGACCTGCTCTACGATCTGATGGCCTGGTAATAAACACATTACACTGCAGTGAATTTTCGAATATTCTCAAGATAAAAACCATTGGTAGCTTAAAAGGGTCATCAAACATTCAGACTTTTGACACAGCATGCCATCAGCCAGCTGAAGAATTACTCTTTGCCTCATCTCAGACTCCTGATGAGTTTCCCTGATTCTCCAGCTGTTTCCCAGTCTGTAGTTTTCATATTATAAAGGTGACCAGTTAATCTTCTTGTAATAAACTTGGATCAAACTGGGCAGCTTATGAATGTTAAAATCTGCATTTTAAAATTCAACAGAACAGCTTTGTTTTCCAGTAACTGTCACAGAGTCACAACAACACACTTCAGCACTGATATGCTGAAATGAGCCATTAAGTGATTATTATTCATAATAAACAGGCATTTTTGGGCACAACAAAACATTTGATGGCATTAATAGAATTAATATTTTTTATGTTTTATTGTAATCAATAAAACCATCAGTTTCTTAGTAGCAATTGTTAGTTGCTGGCATAGTGTAATGTCAATGTAAACAGCCTGTGTAAACTGTGTTACAGGTAAACGTAGCTAAATGTGGTCAGAAGTCACCCGGACTTTGAACCAGAGGGGGCAGTAACACACTGCTGCTCAACCTGGTCTAAAGTTTCATCTTTAAAGTGTTCAGACTGGACTGAAAGTCTTTACCTCCTTTTGTGTTTCAGCCTCCTGAAATGTTGAAACGGATGGTGCCTTTCAACTCGTCTTTTAAAACAAACAACAAGCGACAAGTAATCCATATGTCACCTTCTCCATTAATACTCTGCAGTGCTTTTCTTCTGTTCTTTTTTTTCTTTTTTTTTAATCTCCATGCTTACCCCTCAGGTTTGGCTATTGAGTGAAACCTCAGTGATGGCTTCTTCATTTTCCCCCATGTGCATCACTGTCTTCTGATGTAGCTGAGCTTCTATTGATTTGGAGTAGATGATGATATTGTCTACTCCATAAAGGAATGCATGTCAAAGGTTTGGTTTTACAGCAGTGATGGCAAGTGATGCTTTGAACTCTCTCATAGAGGCTCACTGAAGACTCCAAGTGGTTGAAATATCTGTCTACGTGTTTCTTGTACAGTCTACATAACCAGAAGAAAGGAACACGGTTGCTTTACGCTTTCATGTGGCTTTAGTTTAATATTTAAACACTACACCTGTTTGCATTGCTTGATGGCTCCTCTCTCCAGCCACAGCAAATAAAAACGTACATTACCAATGAGTTCGTCTTCCATGTCCAACTTTGAGCCACTGTGTAACAACAGGAAATGAGCCTTTCTGACTCATAACTGCGTAAATGTGATGTCCGTTTGCTCTCGTTTCCTTCCTATGAAATTAAACAGCCGTTTAGAATGATTTGTGAGTTTTTTCTGCCTGTGCGTGTTAGTGTGAATTATTGTCTTGATAACGGAATTAAGGGGTGAGGCTTTCAAAGCAACTGTGTAACGCCTTAAAAGCCGAAGTGCTTTTTTAAAATAAATGACTGTGTTTCCCCTTTATCAGATCAACATAGGAGTGATTGTCAAAGGAAATCTGGCCAGCACACCATGCAGTGACTTGTTAAACAGCTCATGTCTGCAGTGATGTGCTCTTTATTAACTTCCTGTTGACATATTGATCATTTTTAATAAACTGCCTTTTGATTCTCTTTCAGGGATTTCAGAAATATGTGGATGACTTTGACCCCTTCTCCATGGTATCGTATGGCCAAGCCTAACACTACAGCTATGCAGAATGTGCTGCAGATAGTATAAAATCACAAATAAAGACTGTTTAGATGAATTCAGTCCAAAATTCAGTTTCTGCTTTTTCACGAGCCACAAAGTTTCTTACAAAAGCAGATGATTCTTTGACAAATCCTCCCAAAAGCCATTATAGCATATGACCCTATATAATCATGTCTTTTTTTAAGCTTTCTGCTATTGCAGTCTATTAAAATATGCAGTGAAGCTCCAAAAAAGATGTAAAGTCATATCTCAGCAACAGTTTTATCAATCAAAATCAAACTTTCAAAATTCAACCTTTTAAGCAACAAAAATGGTCTTACTGCATTTGACCACTAGAGATCCATTAACTTTATATTTGTGAAAATATAAAGTTAATGGTTTTGTTTACAAGCATGTGATCAGTAGATAATCAAGACAGCTGATAGGCCTAATTACTTACCTAATGATGTCATTAAAAATTGGTATTGCTGACACAATTTATAAAGTGGGAGAAAATGATAGGTTAAAAAACGAATTTAGTAATAATATCAATAAGTGACAGGTGTCAGCCGGTAAATAAACTAGACTAAATACTGCTGCATAACTAATTTCTGGTAGCTAGCCAACAGATCAAACATATTATAATTATCATCAACAGTTTGATGTGAAACAGGCAGCTTTTCGTTAACTTAAAAAGCTGCAGTCATCTCTTTTTTTCCTACAGTCCTGCATTTTAAATATTGTTTGTTTGTGGCTAAACACATGTTCAAAGAGTAGCGAGCTATTCATTATGCTGCCACCTCATTTATTGTTTTATTAATCAGTTAGTTTGTGCCTCTCCATCTGCAATCCTTTCTCTGTCATAGTTCTCTGCGGACCAGATAGCCGGCCGAGATGTGAGGCAGCTGCGAATCAAAAAGGTAGGCAGAGCCTTTGTTGCTGTGAGGAGAGGAAAAGGAAGATATTCAAGAAAACGACTCATGGTGTGTTTGCTTATCATTCTTAAGGATGGAAACCTTGACCTGGCGCTGGAGGGGGGAGCAGACTCTCCTTTGGGGAAGTTGGTGGTATCTGCAGTGTATGAGGGTGGTGCTACTGATAAGCACGGTTAGTTCATTTTTAATCTCCACACTTGCATGTCATGATTTCTAAAAATCTGTATTTCAGTTTTTTAAAGCTTTGCTTTAAAAGCTACTGATGTAGTGGCTTCATTCACAGGCATGTTGACCTCAGCAAAGGTGGATGTTAGTGAAGGTTAACTCGCTAAATACAAGTGTCAAAGTCTTTGAGTCTGTTTACTTAAACTGCTTGTTCTTCACAAGCCACATGACTTTGTCCTGCTAGCGTCAGCAGCTGGAAAACCTAAACATCCACATTAGTTCTTGAAGCATCTTGTTTTCTTTGCCACGGTTTGCTAATCAAATCTGGTGCTTGACTAGTGGCAGACGGACTCATCAACAGTGTGTAGTCTGAACAAATGCTGGACACCATGGAGATGCACAATACAAACTGGTGTAAACAGCAGTTTGTCTTTTTTTGTTTTTCCTACTGAGCTGATCAGCCAAGATGCATTTTTTTTCCATGCCCTTAAAACAGGTCCTATTCCTACCTAACAGAACAGGAGTTCAGTTCTGCTTTATTTTGTTGTACCAATTCATGTCAGGGCACTTGAAATTATAAGGTATAGACCCTGAAATAATAGAATGAGCTGACCATCATCAAAATGTCTTACAACCTGGTGTTCCACTCCCTCAGGTTCCAGCAACATACACACCAAGCTTGAGGTGTTTTTCCCTTTGAAATCCTACTCGGGGTAACCTTTGAAGCTCTTTTCTGAACTGAGTGATTTCTGTAATCAGCATCAGAAGTTAGCGTGGGCGGTCTCTCCCTATCTTGTTGATATGAATTGAGGTGTCATCAAGGGTTCAGTGGCAGAGATTCATTCATTTATTTGTAAAATTTATATGAGGTGAATATTTGTGTGTGTGCCTCTGGTTGAATGAGTGGCAGTCCTGTTCTTTTTGTAGTAAAATTACATCATCAGGGACATTGTGATACGGTCTCTGACCTCAAAGGGGATCAATAAACCTCCTTATTGTGACATGCACCTTTGCTGTGACAACAGGCACTGCGTTAGTTATCAGTGTTATCCAGGCATACTTAAACCTGTGAACCTGAATAGCCAGAAAATGTTTAACTCTTTTGAAACTGGAGTATTTATTTAACCTTCTGACAAATTTAAAAAAAACAAATAAGCAAGAATTTAATATCAATTTGCATCATTTTTGCAATATATGAAATATGATACACTTGGTGTTACAGGGTTAAGAACTGCTAAAGCAATCTAAATATTAGAAAAAGAGTAAAAAAAAAAAAGCTTTGTGAAGACAAACTGTAGAAAATGCCTGTGTGTGTGTGTGTGTGTGTGTGTGTGTGTGTGTATAGATAGATATAGATATCTCTATCTATCAATCTATCTATCGAGATCTATAATTTTTTTTTTTACATTTACAGTGTTGCTATTGTCTCCTATTGATGCTGCTGCCCAGTTAAATATCTGTGACATCTGTCTTTGTAGGTGGGATTGTACCCGGGGATGAACTCATGGCTGTGAATGGGAAGATTCTGATTGATGCCACACTGACTGAGGGGCAAAACTCTCTGACTCGAGCCTGGAGCAGTGGAGGGGTATGACTCCAGAGATTCAGATTAAATGAAATGCCACGCTCCCTCCCTCCCCTTTTTTTTGTTAAGTAGAAATTTCACCCCCTTAGTGCAGCATGGTGTTTTATTGATTTTCATTAAAAACCTTATCAACCCTGATTGATTGTGTGTGTTGTAGATTCAGTTGGGCTGCTTGAGTTCATAACTCCTATTGATTCAGTCACATGCAAATTGGTTTTCACCCCCAGGATTGGATCGATGTGGTGATCGCTGTGGCCCCCCCAAAAGACTATGAGGATGAAGTGTAAGCATTCACGTTCTTCTTATTATTTATGCAGCATTTTGTTAGCAGTTTAATGAAATAAAATGGATTTTGTTCAGGTGTTTATAGGTGTGTGTGTGTGTGTGTGTGTGTGCATGTGTATGCAGCCCTAAGTCAGCATCAGTCAGTCACACCGTGAACAGAAAGGTGTTTGAAGGCAGTGCAACACTTTACAGACATGGCTACCTACTTCAGCACTAGCCCTCCCTCTCCTGTACCTCACCCTCATCCTGGTAATCGACGTAGTCTTCAAACCTCCTCTTCTTCACTGCACGTCCCCGGGGATGTTTGGTGTGGCGCTTGTTTTTATTTGGCCCCATTTTTTTTTGTTGTTGTTGTTCTTAAAGGCATGTGACAGTCTCCCTGTCATTTAGAGGAAAGCAAAGAATCTCTCTTCCTGTTATAGCTCGGCTAGTGCCACATAAAGAAAGCGTGACAATAACTCTATGTGGACACAATATGCAGCTTATTTAGAAAATGTCACGTCAAGACAGCCTGTCCAGTGATATAGCCATGCTGTTTGAGTGAAGACATTTACAACTAATGCGATCAGTGACCTGTGCCTCCATATATCTGTCAGATCACAACCCAGGGAGTCATAAATAAATGGATCCATACACGTAAGGCCTCTGTGGTACCTCATGAGGTCATGGACACTTGTAAAAGCAGCCTAGGACTCCTGCCAGCCTTCAGCAGTTATTCTGATTCATGTTGTTCAATGGGACTGTTACATGTTCTGAAACCAGCCCATTCCCAGGGTTGGATCTGGAGTGTTTTTGATATAAAGATAAATAAAATGATTTCATGTTTTTGGTGCTCAGCTGCATGTGTTGGCCTGTAGTGCTGAGTGTGAAGTGACTGAAGTTTTTCCAGCGCATACATTTGTTAACAGTTAATAAAGCACAGCGGATTTAATCGTTTGTGTTTGGTGCAGTTGAATAAAGTAGATCTGACAGATCTTTTCTCTTGCAGGACGTTCTTTTGATCTCATCTACAACCTGCCAAGAAAACCAGACTAATTGAGAAGCTTATAATTTTTGATTCTTCCACGATTCACCAATCGCAACACGACACATCAACTTGCCCAACATGGTCTTTTTGTCTTTACTTGGTTTTTCTTTCTAAAATCGAGCCATGCTGTCTATATGAGCTGTCACTGTCTTGGCTTGGTAATGGATGGTCCAGTCAATATGCAGTTGTCACCACCAATCTTCATCGCTTCTTCTAATTTAGACACACCTGAGCTTTCCTTTCATCTGTCAGTATAAGAAAGGGGGGGGGGGAAAGACAATTTGTAATCAATAGCTCCTCTAAAGGACATGAAATGAGGTTGTGTTGTGCATGCTGATTTTTCTGCTTCATGTTTTCCTTTTTAAACACTGTTTCTAAGTTACTGATGCAAAAAAAAAATACATGTAAAAATAAAAAATAATTATGCGAGTGCGTGTCAATGCCTTTTCATTATACACCGTATATTTTTATGATTTATTTTAAGCTTAATTGATCCATATTCTTCCTTCCTTATCCCTGGTAGAGTAGGTGTTCCAGCTGTTATGGAGGGGGGGCTATTGAAGTGTAGCATATAGCATATAGAATAGAGACTTACAGCCAATCAACAGATAACCCAACATGTATGACTTCGGGCTGTGGGGGGGAAGGTATGGATGATGGCTCAGAGGGGGCATGGAGGTACCATAAACCCTGCCAGTTGGTGGATTTTAATTGATGTGATTTTGTACATAACTGAAGCTGACTGTGAAACTGCTTAAACTATACCAGGTTCCACTTTTGTTGGTTTCAAAAGTGGATCATGAGGTCAACTGCTTGATTATTTACTCGTTTTTGCAAGTTATGCTGAGGGCTGTGACCGAATGTCCACAGGGGGCGACAAAGCTCCTTCGTGAATACTGATCGAATGGAATCGTGTGCTTTAGATAATCCTCCGTGTCATCAAATGGGCCAGCATCAGATTTGTAATCGGTGTGTTTAAGTTAAAGGTGGCAAACACAAAAAATAAAGAGAATGCACCGCGTGGGTTTCATGTAATATTACACCTGTGTTGCTTTGCTGGGCAGCATTCCGCTTCCCTCTTTTCTAAGCTCTGTGCAGTCATCCACTCCCGCCTCATTGTTCATACGTGACATCTGTCTGCTGCCAGTTGGCCGCTGTGCTGCGTGTAGCTGCCGATGTTCTACCTCTACGGTTCATGATACAGTCCAAAGGTTGGCTGGAAAGATCTGCCTCTTTCTTCCTGCAACCCCTCCTCTTCCTCCTTCTCCTCCCCCTCCTGGGTACCCGGGGTCAGCACCGCGGACAGCTCCTTTCCGTCACCCGTAAACCACCGCCTGCGGTCGGGCTGTCAAACGCAAGTAGGACAGCGAGAAGTCGGGCGCACTCTGAACACATGAGACTGTGCTATTTACGAGATTTTGTCTCTTTTCTTTTTTTAACATCCAAGCGACGGATGTGACAGAAGATTGTTTCTGAAGTCAGAGATACGAGGCTGGAACAATGATCTCACGATATAAACCGGTAAGTGCTACTACAGTATATCTGTAACCTGCTCAGTCGCTTGATCCATATTCAATTTAAAGCATCGAATATTCTGCATGTAGGCCTACGATTAAGGTCGAAAATACACAAAAGACACACGTAATTTGATTTAATTGCACGCAGCATTTTACAGATATGAGCTCTCTCCAGATTAAGGCCTATCCAGTGATGATACAAGTCATTTCAGTTCATATTTAGTCAGTGAATCCCCGTGTGCGCTGTAATTGGTTCATCCATCACCGAGGCTTATTTCTGGAGGCGAGTTCTGAGAGTTTAAACTATTGAGTGTGCTGATTTCTCAACAGGGCCATTGCACCGAGTGTGGTAACAAATTGTCACAGGCAGATGGGGAGCATTTCACAAAAACAAGTACCTCCCCTTCCTCTTTCTCTCATAGGTGAGAAAAATGCCGAGAAAGTAGATGTACACGGATGCCACAATGCAATGCATGAGTCACTGGTCACCCCTTACCCTTACTTTACACCCACAGACATAATCATCACACTACTTCAGCCAACACATAGTCAAACCTTGTTTTCAGTTAAGCCACTGTCGTTTGGTTGGCATCAATCTGTATTTGGGGTTTTATGACGTAACAGTGGCTCAGAGTCTATTTTGAGGCCGGTCTGATATTTTAGGATTTTTTTTAGAATCTATTGTTCTCCCTTTGTGTTGTGAGTTTGCTAAGATGATGTTGACTTTTCCTCTCTTGGCGTCTCTCTGAGAGGCTGCTGCTCTGTCTAGTCATTTTCTCTGTCCTCACCCACTCCAATGCTTCAACCCTCCCCAGGCTATACAGTGATGACCATCTCTGATGTAGGGCATCACAGAACGAAAGTATAATAATAGCCTAGGGGCAGTGTAATATAAAGAAGGAATCTTTAATTGAAGCCTGATGCTGGTAGTAGAAACAAAACAACACAAAACAAGTAACCCCCAATAGACTTAACAATATGTATTCTGTTCTGTTTAACTGGACTTGGTCCTATAACCCTATTTTTCCTTTATTTTTAAACAAAATGATAGAGCTAATATCTACTAAGATATTTGACGTGTGCAGGAAGTGATTAGGTAGGGCTGCAGCTGACCCAAACATCATATATTGGGTGATGAAATCAAAAACCAACTGGAATATCATTTTACAGCTATGCCTGGTGTCCCTTTCCTACTTCCCATATATCTCAGTGCTTAAAGTGTAACTAGAAGCACTACAGCATATGGGGCCAACCTGAACCTTACTGTTTCTTGCATTTTGGACACATTTATGGCTTTACAATCATAATCCACTTATTTATTTTCTACATATTAAGTGTATATAAGTATCAGTCAAATTAGAATAATTCTGTTCTGCTGGGATTGAATAAATGCAAGCTTGCAAAAGCATTGCATCCTGTTTTATGGTATCACTGCTTGCAGAAAGCTGTGCACTGTAATGAACATTTGCAAAAGTAAATACTACCTTGCTTTTAAATAGATAGCTGGAATTTAATGTCTATATCTCGAGATGCCTTAAGTACAGGACAACATGTTCGGCGAAGCTTGCAAGTCAGTTCAAAGAGGAAACTCGAGCTGTACTGTGTCACGCACATTTACATGCCCCGCTCTCCTCACGTCACATACCAAACACACCCCCCAATTTGGCGGCCTCTTTAAAGCTTTCCCATCTCTCGCTCTGATATGTCTTTTTTAACCTCTCCTCATTTCAAACATGAGTTCTCAGCCTGAACCTACAGTAAGTTGTATTTTTTCTCATATTAAATATACATTGCTGTTTTTATACCACAGTCTGAGTCCGTGTACGTGAATCGGCTGACGAGTGTCTGTGTAAACAACAAAACACTTGTGTAAACTGCTCATTACGGTTAAGCTTATCTCCTTGCTGCAACGATGTAAAAGGTCATCAGCCATGGATTACATTGAATGTAAATCATTTTAAACGCTAAGAAAAGGCCATCGGTCTATCCTGGTCGACAGATGGATTATTGAAATCTGCTCCCATGTGGGTCTTTGCTGATCCTGCTCTACAAGCAGGCTGCTACTGGCTGCAGTGGGATTTCTCTCTGCTGGACCATACACATAATGCATCCACGCCAGGAATTCATAAATATTTGATGCTATCGTTCCTCATGTGTTGAGCCTGGTTATTCCGTTATTGTGTTTGTTTTTTAATTTTTTATCATTTTGATAAAAATTGTGTTTTAGAATTATGTAAGCCCTGAGAACATGTTTTTGAGATTTAGATTTTATGCGCTTGCTCATGCTTCACACGTACTTCTGTATGACGTTTGCACTGTTCATCCACTAGCTGTATCCCAGTGTCTCGCTCTTCATCATTCACTGTTCCCTTCCACCCTCCCCCTCCTACCTTTAGTTTCTCTCCAGCTCGTCTGCACACTCTGCCCCTTCTGCGCTCCTCTCCCAAGGTCGACTTTGAGCTCTCGATTGCAAAGAGACAGGAATAGCAGGTGGACTGCAGAATGCTGTCGCTGCTTGATCAGTGTGTGTGTGTGTGCGTTTATGAGGAATGCGAACATGTCTGAATGTATTCCAGTGGAGCTGTGCAGCTCTGTGCACAAGTGAAGCTTCAGCCTTAGAGGATGTCTGCAGACTGCGGATGGACGAGCTGCAGATGCTTTTCACCGGCATGGCCAGAAAAGCTGCTTAAACTATCACAGAGGAGAGGGAGCTGCCGCCGCTGCTGCTACTGCCACTGCTGCGCTGGACTGTGACTGTCCCTGACCTCTTCCTCCCTCCTCCTCTGTCTCCTCTCTTTCACTCGAGCTGATATTTGGGAGCTGGATTAGAGAGGGAACAGGAAGGAAAACACCTTGGGAATTACCGGGATCCACTGCAGACGTCAGTGTTTCCTTTTGAAAAGACGACATGCTCTGAGAACCTCTTCTTCTAAATCTCTCCGTCTGTGTCTCCTGTCCTCCCCTCATCCTCTTCTTCTCCTCCTCCTCCTCCTTTTCCTCCTGTTCCCGGCAGAGTCCCGGTTCCACCATGTCCTTGGCATTCTGTGGAAACGAGAATAACTCGATGGCCTACAACGTGGATGGAGGGGTTCTGAACAACGGCTGTTTCCTGGATGCGCTCAATGTGGTCCCACATGTTTTTGTCCTCTTCATCACCTTCCCCATCCTCTTCATCGGTGAGTGTCAATGTGAAGTGAGATCCTCCTTTTCACTGCACAGTTTTACCTGCCTTGACTTCCACACGTGCTCAGATAACGTGTCAGCACAAGTCAGCATGATGGGCTTCGATATGTTTTCTGTCTTTCTCACATTCCTCTTAATCAGCTTGTTTTATTCTGCATGCGGTTGATGAACTATTGCATGATGTATTCAGTGAGTGCTCCACTTGCTTTATAGAGTCTGTTCATTTCAGTATACTCAACCTTTATGCCACCGACGAGTGGTTTTGAGTGCGCATTTCATTCTCCGATTTATAACACCCACAAATATCTGCAGGTGTATGGGTTAGCCAGTTATGGAAGGCTGAGCCTCTTCAGTGACACAACACGAGGACATAATTACTGAGCTGCAAGCATTTTTCTGAGCAAATTAACGTCTTTCGATGAAATGCAGGCAAACAGATGATGGCATTAGGTTGCACCTTGTTTGCCCTCCTATCTGGCCGCTGGTCATTTCTGTTAGAGTCATCAGCAGCGTGTAATGGATCAGCACTACATGCACATTTTGCTGCTACAGTCACACATGCTCCAG